GAGTGCAGGTAGGAAGCATAGTTCTGATTATGCATATATGTATTGTGTTAATGTTGAGTGCATAGGTGCTGTCCTGTGCTGTTTGCACATATCTGTTACATCTCCGTGTCACGTGAGTGCAGTTTCCTGCATCAGGCTACATTTAATCCATTACATAATTACTAAGATTACGATGTGGTGTTCGTTTAATGTTTAATTTAAGTGTAACGTATGCATACTTCTGATTATACATACTGTACATCCAAATTGTTTTGTTAATGCTGAGTGCGTGCTGTCCAGTTCTGAAGTCTTTCACCTAGAGCTGTAGTCAAGTCCAGCTTTGTCGAGTCCAAGACAAGTCCAAGACCAGGACTAGTCGAGACCGAGTCAAGACCGAGTCCAAAGAGGTTCGAGTCCAAGTCAAGTCCAAGTCCAAAAGTTTCGAGTCCAAGTCAAGACTGAGTCCAAATGAGAGAAAAAAAAGGATCCTCTTCAAGACAACATACTTAACTATTGATAATGTATGTGATGGGAGAGACAGCATATCTGCTATTCTAAGAAAATCATTTTACATTATTATTTGTAATGATCAAAAAGCATGTGCAAAGTAACAACTCTGTAGGACAGGGGTCTCCAAACTAGATCCTGGAGGGCCGGTGTCCTGCAGAGTTTAGCTCCAACTGGCCTTAACACACTTATCTGAAAGTTTCTAGTGTGTCTAGTAAGAGCTTGATTAGCTGGTTCAAGTGCATTTAATTAGGGTTGGAGCTAAACTTTGCAGGACAACGGCCCTCTATTTACATTTTATTTACTTTAGGTATAGCAATTTCAATTTCAGGTAAGCTGAAGTGCAACTTCACATTTTCAGTCTTTTTATTATAGTGTAACAATATTGTTATACAATATTATACAATATTATATATAATATATTATATATATTATACTACTTTATAATAATAATTGTGTATAACAATATTATAGTGTAACAATAACATTCTGGGCTGCCAATGGAAAATGTAACAAATAACAAGCAACACAGGTGTCACTAAAAAATGTACAAAACATTTGAACTCCAAAATGACTGCAATGAACATGTTCCCATTCTTGAACTTATTACTTGTAATAAACCAAAGGAGCATTTTCAACAAAAAAACAAAGAAATAAACATGAACATCTTCAGCTATGTGTGTGTGTGTGTGTGTGTGTGTGTGTGTGTTTGCCTTAGGCCATATAATATATAATATATTCAGGAGTACCAGTCAAATCAAAATCTCCCAGGAGATTACCAACACAGTTTTAGTGCAGAATTGGATGCAAGTATGGGATAGCAGGACCCTGACCTGAACTGGCTCTGCATCTAATCCTC